TCGGTAAGTAATGAGTTCTATTATCGTCCGAAATCCAGGTTATCATAGGCCGTAAACGACGTTGGAGACCTGACGTCGCGAAGTTGCCGAGACAAAGGGAAGTTCATACCTGGTAGAAAGGTCACAAGTCATGGTTTCAGTTCCAGTGGGAAGCGAGACATCCTGAAGAGGAAGTTAGTAGTCGTTTTGATGAAATCTGAAGAGTCTGACGTCAGCCATTAATTTGATGTCGATGGGGTGGCTCATGGCGGATTTCACCTATATTCGTGATATAGTATCAGCAACTTGCTTGCATTGCCATGGACATGGTAAACTGTACAGGAAAGTGTGACTTGATATCTAGGTGACGAACCTTGTGGGGAGAAAATCGACCGAGGATAGCCCTTAGAGTATAAACAAAGGGATCGCAAGCAGTAAATACGACGAATTCACGACACTCGAGAAAATGTTTGACGTTTTGTCGGCTAAGCAGACAGCCCGGCCATGGACAGTGTAGCTACTTTTTTCTGGTTAAATCTTTTTCAAAACGAAAGCAGGAGGGTACAAAACATCGCTAATGATTTGCGGGTGGGATGCTCCAACGGCTTTGCTGGTAGCATCTGCCATGAGAGTTATGCGTACACCTGCATGGAAATGGGCAAGGAGGTTGGCTTTCGCTAGGCCGTCCTTGACACTATTGAGGACTTGACGGTGATCCAAGAAATTTATGCTGGGGAATCTAAACTCGTATTTAGTAACATTTCTCATAACGCCGTAGGAGTTGAATCGTTCGAATAGTTGGCGAAATTGAACCTCGTGTTCAGAAGCGTCGGAACTCGGTTCAAGTAAATCTTCGCGGTAAGATTAGGAGTAGTTGAGACCTATCAGTTGATCGATTAAATGCTTGAATGTTTGAGTGACATTAACCTCAAACCAAACTATTCTTAGTATGAAACCTTAATCCCTTACTTATTTACTGTTTTACTATTAGTAAACCTTACACACTATTGACTAAGTTTTCAATCAAAACAAAGTTAAATGACTCCAGAAAGAAGGTGTTTGTTTACGCGTTCCTGTGTTCTAAGGAGATTGACGGCACCCAAGAAGTGCTATATAATTTTTGAATTCTGAACTATGCCTAAGGAGTTTTTTCACTGTCTGCTCTTTCTGCTCACTTAAACCTGCTGGCTCGTGTTAACTGA